CCTACTCTCTCCCATTGCATTTTGGGTGAATTTGTGGTTGTGACCTGAAGTCTTGTGCACAGACCACTGGGTGAAATTTCATTCACAGCAGATCTGTGGAGCTCTCTAACTGTGAGGAATTACTGTCAAATACTCCTGCATTCCCAGTGGGGAAGACTGTAATTAAGCAGCAGATTTTGAATTTCATTTTGGAATTATTTTATGAAATGCAATTAGACCTGGCAGTCAGGCGTTACCATGGTAGCTTTGTGCTGCTGCGTCATAGGCTTTTGCTTGAAGGAGGTCTAGGGTTTCTTTCCACAGCTTATATAAACACTGCACATGGAGTTTGTACAAATAAGTGTTTCTGGGGAGCCTTAGCTGTTTTCTGATCGCACCTGTTAATTATGGGTATTTATTACAGAAAATTATTATGCCAACTAATAGAAGATAGCCACCTAGTGGAAACACCACACCCTACTCCTGAATGGCTGTGGTGATGAGCGGTAGTGAGGAATCCAATTAAAGTTAGTTATGAGGACTAGAGTGCTTGTTAGCTCGTATTCTTGTGTGTTTGTGTCCTGAGGTGTTGACATTTCTTGCAGATTGTGTTTACTTGTTTTACTGTGAAGAAGGTAGTTTGTTTTCATAGCTCAAATCTTTCTCTTTCTTGACACTCCACTTCTCCAGCGGATAGTTGTGATAAATGTCGGTTTATGCTGCTGTTGTCTAGATTTGTTGTGTTGTTTTGCCCAGGCATTTAAGACATTTTTCATCTCGCAAAGGGAAGTTTTTGTTGAATTGAACTTTCAGTGGCTGAAACCATTTTATCTCCCTCTCACTCTACCACCTTCTTTCTGAATGCTTTCTTATTCCGGTTTTCCCCACCCCGAGGGGATTATCTGTGAGCTCGTATTCCTTCTGTCCAAGAAAACAGTTGAGAAAGTAAATGCTTCAACAATTGTAAAATGCATTAAGTGTGTAAATTTGTTTAATGCCTACATTTTTTGACTCGTTAGACTTAGCTAATTGCCATGCTAAAATGCCTGGGAAAGTGGAAAGTACTGGTTTGACTTGACTCCATGTTTATCCAGGTCAGTGGTCACTGTAAGAAGCATAAAAATTAGAAGTACCCTTAGCAAAGACCTGAACTTTTGGCTTTCTTTGGGGGAATAATGAAACTGCCAAGTTAGTTGTATTCCCTTAGGCTTCCTAACTCTTCATTTCTGGGCTGAGTGTGGACTCTGCTTCCCCAGTACCATTTGAAGGATGGATCATGTGTCTTTTCAGACTCCTCTGGGGTCCTGGCGATCAGTGTGTTCTCTGAGGAGTTTTAATTCCATAAGGGAGAGAAGACAGGGGACCTTGATCACACGGGCACTTTGCTCCCTGGAGCGTTATCTTGGTTCTGCTGAATGGATGGCCTTACATCACACGCTGCCCTCAGGCTAAGATTTGGGAGCTGGTGTTGGGTACGAGTTTGCACACAGTAGTGCCGTTTGCTGGTTACTGGCTGGCTTTCCAGTGGTGGAGTAATCTTAAGCCGGTTCCCGACAAACAGAGCCACTTAGGCATTCTGAGGATACCTTTCTGCTGACTACCAAGGAGCTAATCTTGCTGAGGCTGAGGAGTGTGATTTGTCTATTTTTAGGTATCGCAGCTTAGAGGTATGTCTGGCGGTGGTTCTGACAGTTGGTGCCCAGTTTGCCTTTTCTGCCCCTGTTTCTGCTTGCATGTTCTCATCTCTGTAATCCCCTCGTTCTTAATCTGCAGATTCTGTGAAGAACCAAAGTGAGGAATTGGCCTTTTCCTTCCTTCCTCTTGTAGTTTAGTTTGATTAGATATGATTTTCATGGGAAGCAAATTCTTGTTCACTTGTTATTGTAGGGATTGCCAGAGCAGAAGGAAAGCAAGGAATTGCCGTTGAAAATTGTTTTAATTATGTTTGAAACAGCCTCCCTTGATTGAACCTTTTTGCCTTCAAGCTTGCTCTGCTAGGGCTACTAGGACATTTGTGGGGTGTGTGTGCAGGCTCCCTGTTGGCACCTGCAGAGGTTTTTATTTGAGGTTCTATTTATGTTTCTATCTGGCCTTTTTGTTCCTGAAGCACTACAATGTAGGACAAAAAGGATTTATTTTTTTTTTAATCTATAAAGAAAGATGGGACATGAGATCAACTGTTTATCCTCATTTGTGTTTTCTTTCCTTGGTCCGTCGTAGGATTTGTTACTATCTAGATACTTTTATGGCTTAACTTGTTCGTGTCTGACATAGAAAGTTTTTTTTATGTGCTTGATAGCTGTAGTTTGGAAAGTTGGTTTTTACTTGAGTGACTGCTTTCTGAGTCTTCCATGTGCAATAAACTGTTCATAAGGTTATCTCTTGCATGTGTCTCTTTACAACTAAGTCACACTGTTGGTATGAGCAGTGTCCATGGAGGAAGGAAAGTTGAATCAAGCATTGCTTGCCCGAGTTGCCTTTGGAAACTAACTGAAAAATAGAGCACAACTTGTTGTTGGATTGCAGAACAGGAAGACTGTCCAAGTCAACTAACTCTGAGGAGAATAAGGAGAATAATGATAGGCTTGAAATAATTTTAACAAAATTTGTGTTAAAACAGATTCTGAATTGAAAAAACCATTAGAAAAAACTTCACTTTCGTATCTTCTTGTTTCAGTGGTGTGAAATTCTGTCTGAGTAACTTAATCTACAATATCATGTAGTAGTGTGGGGTTTTTTTTCACATAAAAAGACTGTAGAAAGCTTAATTGCCCCTACTGAGATTAAAAGGAGCTATGGATTATGGAATGATTTGAGAATTGAAGTAATGATGCAGGAGGTATTATTTCTGAATCTTTGTATTTGGAGGCTTTCATCTTAAGTTAATGGCTAGGACTGGTTGCATAACCCTGAAAATGCTGTCCTGTCGGTTTGCAATTTTATTTGGTATAGAAGGGCTATATCTTGAGAGTTGGACATGAAATACTTCTGTTTTGCAAAGTACGTATTCCATATTAGATTCTAGTTCATTTTAAACACCTAGCTGTCGAGAGGTAAAAACTAAGTAAAACTTTATATTCCGGTATAATTTATATCCTTCATATTTCCTTCCATAGGAGAAGCTGGGACATAGTTCTGTTCTTTCTGCAGTCTCCACAGTCATAATCCTTTAGGGTTTTTGAGGGCTGGTAACTGACCACACATGCTTGTGAATATGGATTATTTTTTTCTTGAGATTGATGTTAAGTAGATAAGACTGCTAGTTTTAATTAAATACTAAGTGTTAATTAATGATGCATTATTACTGAAATCTGCTGTAGAATCTAGGATATGACAGTATTGATTTAAATCACTGTCTTGACTGTGAAAGCACACTGGAAGCAAAGACTGTATTTTTCTATTTTTCATACTCTAACAATGTATTTCCCTAAGTCTTTAAAGGTAGCAAACTAAGTAAAGTAAATGTAGGTCTTTTAAAGCTATGGCAAATGTATAACATAATGACTGAATAGTTTGGAAATGGTAAAAAGCAGAAGATAATCGTATCACTTGCTCACAAAGAAAACATTGCTTGGAAAACTGTATTATTGCATTCTGTGTGTTCGTTTTAGTGTCACTCATACTGAAAAATGGTTTCTCTGTGAAGGTTATTTGATGTATTTGTTGTCTTCTTCTTTGAGGACTTGTCTCTTGCATTTTTCCAAAAGACAGTCCGTAGTAACATATTATTTCTTGATACGTTAATGTTTAGACTTCAAGTTGACTTTTTAAAAAAAAATAACATTTTTTTAAAATAACCCTGTAGCCCTTCTCAAAGAAAACAGAATTGTGTGGTTCCAATAGCTCATACACCTGAGAGGGGTTATGGCCACTGCCTGAAGCACTGGAGAGTTGCCACAGGCAACTGCATTATGGGTATTTAACCCAAAGTGAGCCTGTCTTGGTCAGGTGACAGCTGTACTGTGCCATAAATCTTACAGAGATGAGGTGATCAGAGCTGACTGAGAGGAAGAATGACCCCGAGTTGAAAACTAGGCTTTCTCGCAGTCTATGGAGGTGCATCTGCCTCTTGGGTGTTCTTAAATAATTTCTTCTGTTTGTACTTACTGTCTTCTACCATAACCATTCTGTTCTTGCAGAATATTCAGTGCGAGAGGAATGAAAAGTTTACAGATGCTGGATGTTTAGTAGAGAATTAATGATAATTTAGTTTACTTCTTAAAGTACATTAGTTTTGTCTCACAAATCACAATACCTCCTGTACTAATACACTTATTTTCATAGTAGGGAATTCACTAAATATGCAAACAAGCTTCAGGCTGAGGGAAAAAAAGGGTGTCATACAGAACTATGATAATGTTTAACTCAAGATATGATTGTGAAGATTTTTCTCCTTTTCCAAACCCATCTGATGGTTGTTTATAAAAATGAATTGGCTCTATTTATAACAAGTAGGTAGAGGCACAGAACAATAGGGTCTTCTCCAATACAGAACAATAGATGTGAACGACTGGAAGGAAAACCTGAGGAAACAGAGCTTCATGGCTGTTGGTATTTTTGCAGGCTTTGTGACAAAAAAAGCTTTTGTAGAAGAACATGAAGTATCATGAGGTAGTGCTAACAGTGTTTTTAGAAAGGTTTTCCTTCCTTGCCTAAAGAACAGCAGAGGGGAGGAGTACAGTAAAGTAGGCTTTATTTTTAATCATCTCTCCTTAGCTCACACTGAAGATGCTTGGATGAAAACAGAGGAGCTAAGTGTGACCAGAAGGAGTGGGAACTCAGCTGCAAAAAGCCTTGAGCAGCCAATCTTTACCATGATAGGGAGGAGAAACCTGGTGCTTCAGCTCCATCAGCAGAGCCACTGCAGGAGCTTTGCTGCTCTGACTTCTGCAGAGGGGCATTTTTCTGTCCAGGCTTTGCTCCCGTCCCTTGTGCTACCCCGTCCCTTGTGCTACCCCGTCCCTTGTGCTACCCCGTCCCTTGTGCTACCCCGTCCCTTGTGCTACCCCGTCCCTTGTTCTGGTGTGCATTTAATACTCTGAATCAACTAAAATAACTGCAGAAGCAGGATGTTGATAAGTTCTATGGAGATGCTCAATCACTGCACAGAGAGGGCAAGAATTAAGGATGGTGGTATGAATTTCAACTTAGCACTTGGTTTTCAGGTCAGTGATGACTAAGCTGATTTGTTTGGGAAAAAAAGAACAGTACCAGTGCTTGGAAACTTGAGTTCCTTTAATGAAGTCATGCTGTGCAGTTCACCTCATTCTGCGCTTTTTTCTTCAGTTGGTTAGCTGGTTTTGATTTATTTTTTCTCTTGATTCAGGCAGTACTGCTTCATAGATTGTAGTGTGAGATGCTTAGTGGTCATGCAGATTAAGGATGTATACACTTCAGTAAGAAATGTAGGTAGAGTCATCCATATGTGCACCTCCCTGTGGCCACTGATGAGAGAACTGAGGCACTGCAAGTATAATAAGAAGAGACCTTAGGCAGACAGCTTATGTAGGAGTAGAATTGAGGTCTCTTCAGCAGCACCTCAGTGAGGTGAGTCTTTGATTTCCTTTTTCCTGCTAAGCTGTACAGTGATTTTTAAAACGTATGAGCAAGCAGTAGATACTCTTTGTCCACTTGTTGGTGCCATGCGTGGACAAAGATGCTGGCAACATCAGTAAGAGAAACGAGGCATGGTTTGATGGGCAAATTACGCAACACTTAAAGTAACTTTTGTTCTTAGCTGTGATAAACTTTAAAATGTGTGAGCTTTCCAGTACTTTCAGTTCTTTCTTACTTTCCCTGAACATCCCATTTGTCAAAGCCTTTGATGCATAAAATTCCCAGATTTCTTCTGGAGTACAATGATCCAGTATAAACGTATTTGTTCTCTTGTGGACCAAGCTCTTCCCCTTTCCTTCGACTCTGAATTTCTACAAAAAGGTCAACACAATAGTCTCACATCTACCCAAAGAGAGTGTTGAGAAAGGGTAGTTGTCCCTCGTATAACTGTCTAATCTCATACTCCGTCTTTGTTCTTCATTTACATTTATTTGTAAAACAACTTTTGGACCCTTTGAATTGCTTTCCAGATTTTAACAGGTGGTCTGTTGTTCATGTTTTGTGCCTAGAAGATTCTGGGGTGACTTTTATTAATAGCTGTCTGATAACTCCATCGGTTACTTCTTGCTGTTACATGCTATGAAACATGTATTTCCTAGGTATGTTCATTCAAAACACTCTCAATTTAACATAACTAGTATGTATGATGTTCTGGTATGGCTACAATAGTACGTGGGAAAACTTAGTTAAACTGCAGTTTGAGATATGTACTTAGTTATATTGTAAAAGTAATCCAATTTTGGTATTCATTTATTTGCAAACTATGTGATTGACAAGAAAAGTTTTGATGCAAATATATATATATGTGTGTGTGTGTCTCTGTTTATTTAGGCTTTGCTCACTGCAGTAACATCTCAACACATAGAAATCCACGAAGGAACAGTGCTACAGGCTGTAAGAACATGTTACAATATCTATCTAGCAAGCAAAAATCTCATAAATCAAACCACAGCCAAGGCCACTCTAACACAAATGCTGAATGTCATTTTTGCACGTATGGAAAATCAAGCAGTGAGTATCTTAGTGTTTTATATAGAAAATCATTCTTAAAAGCAAACCAGCTTGAGATTTATTTTTTTTTAAATATTGTTAAAGCTTTTTGGGTTTCCCAACTTCTGTACTTTTGAAAAGAAAGTAATCTGATATCTTACATTGTTCTTTTTGTGTTTTGCACACTGAAATAGGTGGGATGTGGTGTTGGGGGTGGTTGTGCAGGTTTTAAACTTCTCATAGTGCTCCTCTATATTTAATGGATGTGTTCAACTTCAGTTTCTGTTGTCAGGCTGTTGAGATGCAACGCTACCTGCATAAGAATGCACGTAGAATACATTAGTGTTAGCGAAATGCTCCAGTGTTGTTGTGATGGTAAACACCGAAGAAGTAATCCATAATTAAAACAAAACAAAATCCGAAAACAAACAAATGTTGAAGTCATGTAATAATTTCCATTTTTTAACATTTTAATGTGTAGCAGTCACTAACAGATACTTACTTACCTGTCACTGAAATTGCTACTGTGAGTTGTCAGCAAGGGACCCCAGCACATGACCTGTGCCTTTACTGCTGATAATAAGGATCAGTAAGGCAAAGTAATTGTCCTTAGTCCTATTAAACAGACAAAAACAAACACCCAAAATAGAAACAAACAAAAAGCAGATGCCCAGATTTGAGAACTGGTTGAATTCCTAGCTACTTCTATAAGTAACTTTGCTGTATTATTGCAGACTTAAGTTTTGTCTAGGAATATGTAGTACTTCCTTGCTTACTTTCCTCTCAGAAGCAACTGCGTATTGGTATGTGGTACCATCACAATTGACGAGACTGAGACATTGTATTTATGATGAATTACGGCAAAAGCCATGCAGTACCTGAGTGCTTTGAGAAATCTGTGCAGTTGCTGTCCTTTTAAGCAACTTAGTAGTAGTAGTAATAAATAATAATAATAATAATAATACTACAATGGAAGGCTTCATTTTTGCCAAACTATAAACTTAGTCTTTATGCAAGGTGATAAGCAGTTCTACTTGTTTTGCACACTCAGGACAGTTATTTTAATACGATAACTAGCAAATGCTAGAGGGAATTATTTGAGCTGTAATTGGAAAGGTAGTATCTACTTGGGGATTTATAGCACCGCAAAAGATGCAGCGTAGAAAGCTTTAAATGGAAGAGGGCTGAGATCATAGTAGCTGAAAGAACCGTATAAAAAGTTACAAAACTTTTGGTCAGCACTAGGCCCTGCAGGGATAGAAAGCCGGTCCTTAGAGTATTGCCTCAAAGAACTCTCTGCTTTGGTATGACTTTAAGAACTGTTGTCTTCATCTGTTAGGCAAGTTACAGAGATTCTTCTCTTTCTGGGGATTCTAGATCAAGGAACCACAAAACTAAAATAGTCTGTCCTACAGTCTTAAGTATGATGATTTCTTCCCAAGGATCTGTCTTCTGTAATGTTTTGGAAGTGCTTCTCTTTTCAGTTTTAGCTCCTCCTTTTTTCCCCCCATTGAATATTTAATCAGTTTTGGTTTGGTTTTTTTGTGATTTGATTTGATTTTTTTCAATTTAAAGAAAAAAATTTTTTATTTATTTGTAAGTCTTTTCCTTAATACCACATGCTTGTAGGATAACAGAAGACTGTAAGTTCTTCTATGTACCTTTCAAAAAGAAAAAAACCTGCCTTGCTATTTCTCCATGCAGTCTTTGTATATTGTCACAGCTCCTGGCTGAACTTCCTTATAGGGCAGGCAGCAACTCCTGGTCCTATTCTGTGTGTAGTTTAGTCATCCGTCTTCCACTGTGAAGGTACAGTTACGTGTATTGTGCATAGCTGGGAAGCAGCCCTCTTGCAAAGGTTTATCCTATGGTATTAAAATTAATTAAATACAAAAGATGCATTTTCTTAAACTGTTGCAGCTTTATGAATGAACTGTATAAGCAGAGGCAATAGAAATTTCATGTTTATAAAATAATGTATACAGTATGTATACAGCTCATTGTTTTGTTTTGATAATGAAATTCCTGTGTGATTGCAATGTTTTTGTAGCTTCAGGAAGCCAAACAGATGGAAAAGGAAAGACACCGACAGCAGCACCATCTACAGCAGTCTCCAGTAAGCCATCATGAGACTGAGTCACCTCAGTTGAGACATATTCCAGCACAGGCTGATCAGCTGTCCAAAGAGCATGAGAGAGAGCTTGACCACAGCACAAATGATGTGGACAAGAACCTTCAAGAAGATCTAGAGGCAGAAAATGGATCTGATATTTCTAGTGCTGAAAACGAACAGACGGAAGCCGACCAAGCCACAGCAGCAGAAAGTAATCAGTGTGTATTTCTGTTTCATGGAGGGAGGGAAAAGGTCTGTCAAAAGAAAGGCTTGAGGATTGTCCTTTTTCCCCTTCTCCCAAATCTGGAGTCAGACATATATTTTCAAATAGCTGACAGATAACAAATGCTTATTTTTCTTGTTACAAGCATTAAACTTTGTCAGGAGTATCTTTTAGTCCTACATGCTGTTGTCACTGTAGCAAAGATTCCTCTTTGCACCTGTGTAATACTGTGAAAGTTTTTGAGAATAACATCTCAAAAACAGTGAGTTTTCAGTGTTTAATATACGTGAAAATACAAAATTGATGTATTTTGTTGGCATAGGTCTGTGGGTTAATCACCATTTACAGGTTAAACACTGTAATGTTTATGTTCTGCAAATACAATTTTCAAAGCATCCAAACACCACAGAGCTTTTTTTAAACGTATATTCTCTTATTAATACATTTGTAATTGATTTTTAAAATATTAAATACAAGTAAAATATCTCCTTAGTTTCTGAGTTTGTCAATATTTGTTTTGGTTTATACTTCTTTTTAAAGGTCTTTCTAAAGCTGATGGAGGAACATATGATGGTGAAAGCAATGAGTCTGAAGAGAAGGCACAAGAAATTGTAGAAAGTATTGTGCAGGAAATGGTGAACATAGTAGTTGGAGGTATTACATTAATATATGTCTAGTCAATGGCAACTGCAGTCTGAATCTTGACATAATTATTTTAACACTTCTGAATATTTAACTAAAATATGTCATTATTTAAATAACACATGCTGAAGAAAACAGTTTCAGTTGTCTGACCTTAGCCGCGCATTATTTAACAGTCAAATAGACAAGATTTCATACATTAATTTGCACTCTCTGTATTGGAGACTGAGGTTCTTTTTAAAATACAAATTCTCGTTCCTCTTATTTTTCTGTTTTGTTTCCACATACACTCTTCACAAATGGGTCTGTCTCTGTAGTGGCAGTGTCAGCGCTACTTTTTTCAGTTTGTTGGAAAGCATGTATCAAATCAGTGACTTGCCCCCCATACTTCTTGGAAACTTGGTAGAATGGTTAATCTGGCAATGTAAAGTTATATGTAATTTTTTGTTGTAACTTTCATTAGTGGAAATTAAGAGTATTTCAATTTCTTTTTTTGTTGTATCATGCCATGTAAATTCTACCTTAAGGTTCTCCTTATGATACTTGACTTCTGATCAGTTTAGGGTTTAACTGCTAGATTTAAAAGCTCTTTTAAATTTGGATTCTTATGAAACACTTGTTTATATTTTTTACATCTTTTCTGATAGATGTGGAAGGGACTGCTGAAAGTGCAGGTGGTGATGGCACAATTGTAACGTCAGAGGATGGCAGCGACAGTGAAAACATTCAGGCAAATGGAATTCCAGGGACTCCAATTTCTGTTGCTTATACACCATCTTTACCTGATGACAGATTATCTGTCTCTTCCAACGATACTCAGGTACAGGCATTTATAAATTAGGAAATACTGAAAAAAGTAATGTATTTTAAGTGTTAACCAAAACTTGCGTAGAGTGTTTAATATAATTCCATAAAATAAGTTTCTCAGATGAATTTCAGGCATGAAGTAATGTTCTAAGCATTGATCTGTTTTAATGCACTATTTAAATTAAAGTTTTGTAAGTAAATTTTGCATGTGATGCCTATTTTATCCTAGCATATTTCTAGCTGCCCCAGAGTACACTGTTCGAAGATTAGAGAACTCGGTTCCCTGTTTTTAGAAGTGTTCCTGAGGAAACTCGAAAACTAGCATCCAATATACATAGTGAAGAATATAGCCAGTTATGGACTCACTTGTATAATTTCAGTGTGCTCTTTTCAAATGAAAAATTGAAATTTCAAGCCTGTAGCATGACCTTACTGCATTGATTTCAGATAAAAAGTTTCATATCTGAGAGGATTTGATTTTCAGTAACAAAATAGATGTGAATAGGTACTCCCTCAGTTGTCTCAGATGTCTGCATGTATGCACTGTCAGCTGACAGAGGGTGTCTGCTGTCGAAGTGTGCTGAGTAATTAGGTTTGGGAAAAATAGATTTTAAGCTTAAAAAGCCACAGTCACATATGCCATACAAATAGAAGATTAATGTTAAACATGTTGCTTCTATAAGGAACAACAATACAGAATTGCAAGAACTTACTGTTGGGGGCGATTATTGGACCATAGAAGTTTTACCAAATGTTTCTCGCACAGATATGTAAATACTCGCATTCCGTTAAAATGTCAAGTCAATTTTTTTAAACTAGTTATCTGCTGAAAATGTCTGAAGGCAATTCACTACAAGTTACCTTATTTTAACTTGACCTACCTAATTTCATGACAGTCTTTAATTAATCCTGACTTTTTACTGAGATGGTAGTTTTTATTAGTGAGTTTGTTCATTTTAACTGGACTGCAGAATATTTTGTTCTGTTTTAGTTTAGTCTTGAGACCATAAAGCTATAGTGAATTGGTTATATTTGTATAATACGTTAATTTCTTGTTGCTAGGAGGTGGGGATTTTTTTTTTTCACCCTGCTAATACAAAATGGGATACTGAAATATGTTAACTTCTTTAGGAATCTGGAAATTCTTCAGGACCTACCCCTGGTGCTAAGTTTTCCCACATTTTACAAAAGGATGCCTTCCTTGTATTCAGGTCACTGTGTAAACTCTCCATGAAGCCCCTGTCAGATGGACCGCCAGATCCAAAGTAAGTAGAATTAAGAGTTCTCATAATGAATGTTCTCTATTGGAAAATAAAAATAAATCATTTAAATATTTTTGAGTGGTAGTAATAATAATAATAAATAATGATATGGTAAAAAGAACCTAGAAACTTTAAAAGGTACTTCTGTGTTTTAATGCATCTTATGTATGTTAAATGAAACCATCTGCTGCTACCCGTTTACCTGTTTAGAAGTTTCTTAACAACACCTATGCTTCCTATAAGTGCATCAAGTTCTTCCTAGTTGCTCTTTATAAGACTTTTCAGAAGGGTTTGTAAAGAAAGTCTTCAAGTATTTTTCGTCTTGGCTAACGTTGCTCTGCTTTTAAGCAATACCTGGGTTCGTAACTGTTGCTGTTTATGCCCCACAATTTCTCTTGCATATTGGGCATTTGGTACATAGACCAAACTCTACTTCATCTTAATATAAACTCCTCACTTTGAGCTGATACTGGTTATGATAAACTCATTATATAGTGTTTCAGTCTTTTGCTCAGATTGGACACTTCTGACAGCTTCCTCAATTAAAACACAAATTTTTTGAAAACAAAGTCTTTGTCTGTTTTAGAAATCTTGTCCTCTGACCGAAGATACCATGTTTTCAATTTGACTTAGAGAATTGCACATTGTAAACAACAAAAACCAAAAGTCTTTTCTATAGATGGGTGCCGTATCAGTTAGTTGTGAGTCTTGGCAGAGAACTTTGCTTTTCTGATCTTGGATAGAATTTATATGCATTGTTTTACACACATTAGGAACAATTAGTAATAATTTTCAAAAGAATGCTTTTTTGTTCCTAAGATACTAAAACTGTAGTATGACTTCTGATGACAGTCAAAGGCTCAGTATTCTTCAAAATAAAGTAATCTTTACTATTCCAAGGACTGACTTTTAAAGCAGGTAGCTTTAAGACGGTTAAATTTAATCTCTGATGTGTGTCGTGAATTTAATAAGCTGAAAAAAGTATCATGCAGTAGAAGGGGTTTTGAAAGATAAGTATAGAACTATTTTCAAATTATTACTTAGGGATGCACTATGGAAAGTCAAGACATTCAAGGATGAAGACTGAGGCATGAGGTTTTTCCTCACTGTTTATGAGAATTTGTCTTCCAGGAAATGCCATGAAAATTCTGTGGCTTTAGTCAGTTCTCTGAGACTAAGACTGTTCATTTATTAAAGACTTTAATGGATTAACTCCTCTGGAAGAGCAGCAATAGGTTTTGAGGCACTTGGAGCATCTCACCTGAATCCATGAAGTCGTCGACGTTCATATTAGAACTGATTAAGCTTCTCCTATAGAAGAAACAGGAGGAAACGGCATTTAGCTGTGACGGCATTCAAAGACACATCCTGTGTTTGGAGGAGTGCCTAGAATTTATCGGTGGTTCTGAGGCATTGATGACTTGTTGAACTATTACAAACATGCTGTAACTGGAAGAGGAGGCGTAGGATATTTACAGCATTTTAAAAAGAGTCTTCTCTGCCTCTTTAAAAATCGTGCCAGTGAAATTAGCTATGAAGTCTTTAAGGAAAATGTTTTTAGATTTTAAGTAACTGGACATAGAGCTTTAGCTTAAAATCACAGGGCTTGAGAATTGAGATGAAGGCTGTGTTTCCTAGGAACCCGCTTAATGTCTTTATCTCCTTTTTCCCTGGAATAAAATATGGGAAAGAAATGTCTTGAAGGTTCAATTAATAGATTTTTAGTCCTTAAACTTGTTTTAAATAAAGTGGGCTTTACACATCATACAGAATTGGTAAGGCCAGCAAGGTAGGATTTCAATCATGAGCGGAGACTTGCGTGGAAGTAGGTGATATTTAATATTTTATTTATGATTGAAATTCTTTTCATATTTAGATTTTTATGTTTCATAGCAGAGTATGGTGTGGTCATGTGTTCTCTGCATACTTGATGCAACATGATGCAAAACTGAAGCCTTTTGCATCAAAGGAGAGTGCTGTGTTAGGTTCAGTGCAGTTGTGGCTTGCCCAGACCCAGGCATTTTCTTGAAGATCTCCTAGAGGCAGCTGTCCCTGGGACACTTACTGTGACCTGCAGCCTATTAGAAGGAATGGAAGGAACAAGTTCCTTACTCAATTTGACTGATTAAGTTTTCCTTCTGAGGAGTGTCCTTAGACAAAAAGTTTAAACTTGGGATAATATTCTATGAATTTGAAATGGTTGGAGAGTGATTCCCCCCTCATCCCACTTTTTTTGCCAGTTGTGCAGAAATAATTTATTTGCAGCACACTAGTTGTTAATTTGCATTTTTGTTTTTAGCTAGACTTAATTTACTTTTTTTCACTGCACATGTATTTTTGCAGTGTACAGCAAATAAATACCCAGCTACTGTGCATGTCATGTGTTGGCTTGAAGCTCCCCTTACCATGTCTGGGCTGTACTGTATAAAAAACTTCCTGTCATTGTTCCTTATGTTTCATAAGTATCCTCTGTCAGTGGTGCTTGTTCAATGAAGGCTGTGGACTGTCTTGTTGGGAAAGTGATTTGTGTCTTGAGCTGCTCTTCAGAAGAGCTGTAGTCTTTTTTGAGATGATCAGAAGTGGGAAGGAGCATCAGGAGTCAGAGGAAAGAAAGCTTTCACCCAGAATGCTATTTAAATTGCATTATTTTTTCATAGATACAGATTTCCTTTACACTTTTTTGTGTTTGTGTCTGGTTTGGTTTTGGTTTGTTTTAAAGCATAAATAGCAGCACTGTTCTGACATGAGTCTGTATGAAGCATGATGTTACTGTGGCGCACTTGACAGCATAGCAGTTGCCCAGTTTTGCTATTGCCATGCTTAAAATAGGCATGTTATATGTCTTAGCTGCCAGTGACTGATAAACAAGATAAAACACTGTATTTGAGAAGAGATTTCAGTGTTGGGAGGAAGAAGGTCAGGCAGTACAGCTGTGGTCTCTTTCCATGCTGGTGGAAGTAGAGGAGGAGAAGGAATTTCCACCTTTTAGCCAGGGTTCTGTAGATGGGCTGGATATTTTAGAAGGGATCTTCCAAAAATTTTTTTAAAAGGAAATAATGCTCCCTGCCATCCTCTGGCTAAGGTAGACAGCATTGCCTGCTGTTGCTGCTGCTCTGCAGTGCTGTATTGCAGAAGACAGAGTGGCTCAGTAGTAATGGAAACAGCAACTGGAACTGGTTATTCTTGCCCACCTTCTTGGCTGAAGAGTGGCCACTTCAGCAAAAAAAAATGAACTTCTATTTTATGACTTTCTACACCAGATTGTGTCAAATTTCAGTTTTATTTCATGAACTTTCCGCATACAGATTTGTTGTGTGTACTAACTTGTGAAGAGAATGTGTAATTTTTTATGACTCGCACTGAGCTGATGTGCTGTATTGTTTTATTCCAGATCTCATGAACTGCGGTCAAAGATTCTTTCACTGCAGTTGCTTCTGTCCATTCTGCAAAATGCAGGACCTGTCTTCAGGACAAATGAGATGTTTATTAATGCTATTAAGCAGTACCTTTGTGTTGCACTGTCAAAAAATGGAGTCTCATCCGTTCCAGAAGTTTTTGAACTTTCACTTTCCATATTTCTTACCCTCCTCTCAAACTTTAAGACTCATCTGAAGATGCAGATTGAGGTATGTTATATTAATTTCCAATTTAAAGGATGGGGTGCCATTAAATGAACATCTGTTTGTATTTCTGTGTAGCTTGGTCTTGGTTAGAGAAATTTATTTTCCTTTCTGAATCTCAGCTTTTGTGTAAGATTTGCCAGGTCTTCCCAAGAGCATAGAGGCTCTTTTTCACCCAGTGACAATGGAATTGCTTGTAACAATGCCCTTGAAACCCCCTTCAAATAAACCTGCAGCCTTTCCTTTAGGATACTTAGAGATTAAATGAGATTTGCTGTGTAACATCAGAAGTAATGTGATGGTTGTGGTATTGTTGAGTTGTTTGGTGAAGCGGAAAGAGTTGGAAAAACTTTTGTAGGGCTGTTTGAAAAAATTTCCATCACAATTTAACTAGAACATGAAATGATGTACCTTACAAAGAAGTAGGCCATTTCATCCCTTAATAACAGACATTAACATAAACAAATTTTACAGTGCAAAATTTCCTTTGATTTACTCTGTGCTTGAGGTGAATTTTTACAATCATAGCTTATTATGCCCATACTCACTGCTATTACTATTTTAGTTATTTAAAAGCAGTTTTCTGGTGGCTGTGGCTGTGGCATGGTATTATCACAGAATGACGCTGAAGCTCAGAAATGAGTAGGTTTGTGAATAAGATCTGCAAACTAATATTCAATAATGCGATTAGGAAGTTTTATCTCTGCACTGCATAGTACAAATTAAGAAAATGAGTACACTTTTGCAAAGGCTATGTAATATATGGTTTTGCAAAGGAATTTTAGAATAAAAAAGACTTGAAATGCATTGTGGCTTCTCTTTGGGATCACTTGAGAAGATTTATTTATCTAGGAAAATTCCAGCTATTTGGATTTTGTAGCCACTTCAAGGCCTACATCAACATGCTTACTGAATAAGATAATCTCATTTCTCAGGTCTCAGAAGGTGTGTGTACAATTTAACTCCTTGGGCTCTAAGTAGAGATAAGTCCATGTTCTTAGCTGTAAGAGTTATGCAAGTCCTGACAGACATTGGGAATTTTCTCACTGAGTCACAGGAGAAATCAAGATGTATGTAGAGGCTTTGGTCTTGACTTCCAGTTCTTGTGCCATGGAGTACAGGCAGCTTCTTGGAAAGGTTCTGTCCGCTTGAACCATGTGGGTACTCGCTTGTGAGTCCCACGTGTTAAAGATCTTAATTCCATGGTGCATAAAGTGGTAGTGTGTGCAGTGTGTTCCCACTGTTCATTTTGGTAATTTTATGTTTTGGGAGTCAATGTGAACACTGAAGCGTACGGATTGCCCCATAAGTGTGGAGGTTAAGAGCATGAAAAGATGCTGAGAAATGTTGATAATGTTGCTGTTATAAGGACCTTGAATTGAGGGATTTCTTCATCTATTGATGTAATTGTATAAGTTGATATGTTGTGGCAGCTTTGGAGGAAGAACCTCATTTTGCCAGTGCTATGTCAGAAGGATATTGTGATCTGATCACTTACCAGATGTTTTTTGATGCTTTTTTGGGGGGAAGAAGCAATAGAATTTTCAGTATTTCCTTGAGCGTAGCTTGGATAGAAATACAGGTTTGGTGATTGATTGAACATCCTGTGAAAATATGATGCATTTTGGAGACTTTCGAGACAAACTGTGTGTGTCCAACAAGACTGTGGTGCATGTGCAGTGTTCAACACATCAGACGGACTGAGCTTCTCTTCCAGTCACACAGCTTGCTTACCAAAAAGTGTTGGGCTTGGTATATGTTCACAGAGCTTAGAAGTCTGCATGTAGGTGGTAAATGCAGTGCAATCCAGCTTTCCTAACAGAAATTTGATGAGCTTCCATCTCTGCCATCCTTTCCCCAAATTCCAAACAGAAAATGAAAATATATCTAAGGAAAATTGTATATAGGATACCCTACACTATCGTAGCAGCTTCTGGAATATGCTAAATGAGGACCATCACCACATAGCAGGGCCGCATTTCCTCCTCTCAAGTATGAAAGACAAGAGCTTGATGCTGCTAAAGTATCCATCTATTACAAAGTACAGGGGACAGTAATTTCTAGAAGCTTATCCTTTATCCTGCTTGTGAGCTAAGAATTCCTCTTCTTTCAGCTACTGATCCTAAAGGTTATTCAGAAGATGTGGGTAGACAAGTAGATAACTTCATATTCGGTTTGTGTCTTGGAGCTGTAAGGAGAGCCATATGCTCTGATTTATAATATGCAAAATCTATATATTTTGGGATTGAAGCTGCATTCTTCATCTGTGTAAGAAATTTTGGCATATTTTGAAATAATAGTTTCAGATTCTGTTGGAAGTGACCCTCCTGTGGTCCTCTGACTTAAATATTCAGCTAACACTGCCCTCTGACAGCTAAAATCATTTGAGTCATACCTTAATCGTGCTGTATTTCTAAATGGGTCACTGAATACATTTGCAGCAAATCAAGTCATAGGTATCAAGGGATTTAAGGTGTCGTTTAGCTGTACTTACCTTTACCACCCTTTCATAACTCTGAATAGGCTCTTAAAACTCTTATTTTCAGTTGACCAAACTAAATAATTAGCTCTTTTCCATTTTGCTTTTCTGATACGCTAGGAATAAACTCAGCTCTGTGATGTGAATTGCAATAAGTAACATAGTGATAGATAGCATTTTTCAATATCTGAAATGTAAATAACTGGTATGTTTTTGAGAAGCTGTTCATTTCAAGATGTGCTTGCCCAAAGGTGACACCAGAAGCAAGATGTTGCCTCTGTCTGAGCAGAGATAGAGAGACAGAGATCTAAAGTGTGTTTGTAATATGCAGACCTTGCAGCTAATTTCTCTTCTAGCTTAGATTGAGTTTAATATTTATACTTCAGGCTTTTTTCTCTTCTCCATCAGTGGCTTTTTTTAAAAAATTCTCTACCACAAATAAGAAAAAATTCCTGGTTCCAGAGTGTATATAACATGACTGTCTTTCAGTAAAAAATCAAAAAACAGCAAATATGTGACTAAGGATTGATCATAGCGTGACCTTTATTAAAATTTTATGTCTTCCTCTGTTTGGATTACATAAAGTTGTGGCTAAAATCAGTCTAGTACTCTTGAGTATATTTAAGGACTTGAAAGTCTTTGATCTGTTACGTGTTGAACTCCTTTCATAGGGATAGTTTCCTTGTTACAACTAGTAACTGGGATTGTGCTGTGTGCCTCTTCTTCTCTAAAGAGGCCGATAAAATGGAAATACTGTTAGCACGTTCTGCTTGAGGAAATAGCTTACCATCAAAGTTGCTTAAAAATCAGTGTTGCTGTCCCCAGACATGTGACTTAAAGCAAAATTAGCCTTACACTTATCTCTGCCTAAAAATCTCTATAAAAATTCTGTGGTATAAGGGGATATCTGATACTAAAGCAAGGGCGGTTATGTGCTTGGATATTTGCGTGCTGCTATCAGAGAAGAGGAGCTTGATGACTTGAGACTGTGGTTCTAAAAAAAAACCCAACAAAAACGTTTGTTGGAGGATTTGGTAGCCACAACAGGCTATGGAGAGGTGAGCTCTCCCAGGTGCAGAACGGTGGTGTGATGTGATGCTGGGTAGGACGGTGATGTCATGCCACGTAGCAGTTCACATTTTGAGTTCATTCACTGTTGCAGCAGCTGCTGCTGCTTTTGAAGAAGGGCGAAAAAGCCTGCCCTAGCTGGTAAGCACACTCAGCTGAAATAGTCAGCCTGTAATACTCATGGGTCTGGCAAGGGACAAACTGAGAGGGGATAAAATAGTCTCTGTTCCAAACAAAATCATCTGTTCTTAAGCGATTGCAGGGAAAACTCTAGGGAAGAGTTACTTTTCTATTAATGGACTGGCGGTGCTTTTTAAGCTGTGCCTGACCAGTGCCCTTTTTCCCATAAGCTAATACTGTAGAGTGATTCTTTTGTGTCTTCTAATGAAGGTCCAACACTTTAAATTAGCATAAGTGGCTGTTTGTTATGTTTGTGCCATAGTATCATAATCCTATAGAGAATATCTTTTGTGGTGAGGTAAGAACTCTCCTTTCAGAATCCCAGATGAGTTCTTGCAGCAGCTTAGACTTCTTGTTAGGCTAAATTGTCCTTCAGGGCTTCACATCATTCCCAGTTCTTCTGGTTTTGAGTGATTGGAATATAAAACAAGTTTTCATATGGACAGAACTCCAGAAGTGCATAAGTAATAATTCCAATTCCTAATACAAATGTATGAAGCATAAGTTGTATTTCCTCTTTTCTTCCTTTTCTTATTTCTTATCTCCTATACCTCTAAAGTGCTGCTTTCAGAATTATGTGTGGCAGACTGTTGGCCATCAAAGTTAGTGACTGTGTTTATAATGGATTTTTTCCCCCCTCTCTTCCTCTAATATTAGGTTTTCTTCAAAGAAATTTTCCTGTATATCTTGGAAACGTCTACTAGCTCATTTGATCATAAATGGATGGTTATTCAAACACTGACAAGGATATGTGCAGGTATTAAGGACAGTTTGGTTGTAGTTTTTAAATTTTTATGCTAAATATCGAAACTGTACTTGCCTTTCATTGAATGATTTAGTTTTTATTCCAAATTTGACAATGTCACTCTGTTTATAGATGCCCAGAGCGTAGTGGACATCTACGTGAACTATGATTGTGATTTAAATGCAGCAAATATATTTGAAAGGCTTGTTAATGACCTATCAAAGATTGCTCAAGGAAGAGGTAGCCAAGAGCTTGGCATGTCCAATGTTCAGGTAAAAATTCCACCAAACTTTATGAACCTTTGTTTCTTGGCATGATATGTTAAGACTGAACTCTCTATTTCTCTAATGTATTGCTCTTGAAATTTTTTCTAGGAGTTAAGTTTGAGAAAAAAAGGGTTGGAATGTTTAGTATCGATCCTGAAGTGCATGGTGGAGTGGAGTAAGGATCAATATGTAAATCCCAATTCTCAGACAACACTTGGTAAGATATGAGGCATGGTTCTTCTGGCTTTATTGAAGAGGTGCTACAGGAATTTAGTGCATTTCTGCAGTATTTTGGTACTGTTAGTGTACGATTGGTAAAACCTCTTGCATTAAAAAAAGAGAGAATAAACTTTTTTTTTCCCTTTGGTAGAAGTATTGATAAGTTTGGATTGGTGTTGTTTGAACAAGTTGTCTAAGTTGTCTTTTCTTAATTGTATGAATTCCTTGAAAGCAACTGCACTGAAAATTACTATATCTTGTTATTATCTGTGCTTCTAATTTTAAAGAGACCACAAAACTCACTTTGAAGCTCCCCTAATTTCATCTTACTTCATACTGATTATACTGAAGTAAGCTGGATGGAGAGTGGTTTTTTTATTTATTAATATATAGCTATAAAACTTTCAATGTTGTAAGCAGTGAAGTAACTAAATCCTTACTTATTTTAATCTTGTTTACATTTGACCTGAGATGAAAAGTACTAAAGTTATACCAGAAGTTTCAGATTAAGTGCTTAAAGTTGGTAGGTAAAGTAATCAAATTTTTTAGAGGTGATCATCTCGACTGTCTTGTGAACTGAGAGCACCAGCTCCTTGGCAGGTCTGATTACAAACACTTTTAGAAGCTTTATTTTGAAAAAGGAGAAGAATATGATTTGCTTTCAAGTCAAAGGTAACATTGGCCTTGAAAATAAAAGGAAAGATCTGTAATTGGGTTTCTGAGGTTCCTATATTTTTCTCCAAGTGCCACAAATTACAGTTTTAGTTGAAGATTTAAATTTCAAGTATGTGATGGACTGAAAAAATCCTTCTTGATACCTTCTAGTGATTTTTTTTGGTGGTGTTATTTCCCAACCAAAACAAAAGCAGAATATTTATTAAAAATAAATGGTACATTGAAGATAACCCTAGTAAGTTTCAGAAGCCTTCAGAGAGGATTTCAAGAATAACCTGTGATTTTAATTTCAGTGTATGTATTTTGTAACCCTTTCCAATTTATAGGCCAGGAAAAGCCGACAGAGCAGGAGAGCAATGAAACCAAACACCCTGAGACAATTAACAGATATGGAAGCTTGAATTCCTTGGATTCTACTGCTTCGTCAGGAATTGGCAGTTACAGCACGCAGATGTCTGGCACTGACAATCCAGAGCAGTTTGAGGTCCTAAAGCAACAAAAGGAAATAATAGAACAAGGAATTGACTTGTGAGTGGCTTTTTATCACCCTTGGGAGGGTGGATTCTTTTGGAGCTATGAAGATTCCTGGGTTTTTCTTCCTTCTCCTCATAGATACTCATCTTGTGTTAGGAAAAAAACTCTGGATGTAACAGCACTTCCTCTGGTGAAAGAGTGCTGAATGGTGTCCCCATTGGAGCCTGTCAACAGTGTTTTGTGTTAACCTAATTCCTCACAGCTAGAAGATGAGTACTCTGAATGTTTGTTCTTTTTTTTTTCTCCAGACCTGCTTGTCTAAAAATAAGGTTTTTATTTGGATAAAAAGAACATTGAACTCGTGATCAGCTGAATATGACCCGTTTTAGTGTACACATTACTGATGAAAGTGCCTATATGCTTAAGCTGATGCTTCCTTCTCTGTAATTAACTTGTCATGTTTAGAACTGGTGGATAGTGTAATTATTATCAGTGCAGTCTGACGTGAATCTTCTGTGTGACTTCGGCCTTGTCACCTCATTTCCTCAGTGAGGTCCCTTTATGCAAAAATAGAAGTTTTCTGCAGTATTGTTCTCAGACCCTGAACAAAACCATGCCTTAGTCCTTTAGGATTCAGTTCCTTTTGGTTACCTGGTCCCCTGTCGTGCACATTTCCCTTCTTCCAGGCAAGATGCAGATTTCTTACTGTTTTCATAGAGATTAAAACAAAGAGCAACAAAGCATAATTGTTCCTTTCCAAGCCAAGACTTTGCTATTTTTGTGGAATATTTTTTTCTTCATGAGTGCCAGGTTAAATGATAGTGTTTAGCTCCTTTTAGTGGGAGCTGCTTGAATGCCATGCTGGCAGTTGTGTAGCAAAGAAGAGGAGGCTGTTTACAGAGGGGAAAAAAAAACCCAACAAAATCATCCAGTGATGAAAGGAATAATCATAGAAGGGAATAGCTCTTTCCTATCGAATGCACAGTTTGATAAACTACTTACTACATAGTTTTTCAATATCTCCTCCAAAATTATTGAATCTTTTTTACTTAAGTAGGTAAAGCATTGTGCATGGATAAAAGGGTTAACTCTCATTTCATCCTGATCTTGATTGTACAGATTCAATAAGAAACCAAAGAGGGGGATTCAGTACCTGCAAGAACAAGGAATGCTCGGCACTACCCCTGAAGACATTGCTCAGTTCTTGCATCAAGAGGAAAGATTAGATTCAGTAAGAAAATTGTTTTCCTGGTGGTTGTTTTTGCTCATGCTGATGTTTTTTATACCAGTTGCAAATCACATGATAGTGTTTTAGAGTGTATAACATTCTCCTACAATGAAGGAAAGAAGGGAAACTTCTCTTTGTAAGCTCCAGGAATGTGAACTGGAGCTTATGTGGCAGCTATACCCTGTACTATATGCATCCTGCAGTTAACTAGGAGCAGCTTCCTAAACTATATTTACTTCAGCCCAGTAAGGGACTGCCAAAAGTAACTGTCCTTTAGAGACTGCTAAAAAATAGTGCAGCGCAACAAGACGAAGAACATTTGTTGCTGCCTCCCAAAGGAAAGTTATTTATATCTAGACTAGTTCTTTGGTTTTATTTGCAGCTAGCAGCTGTTGCTGGACTTGGGAGGGTCCTGCAGTATCTGGCTGAGGAGGGTGGGAATATGTCATGTTGGTATTGTCATGAAAAACGGCTTTCTGCAACAGCAGTCTGCACCATTGTGCTTAGTAGCCACTCCTGTTGTTTTTGAAGGAAAAGCTTGCATATGCCTGCGTTTGCAGCTGTGACTGAAGTCACAAATTTTCGTATTAGAACTTAGAATCAGCAATTAAAACAGTTTTTTAACCTCAGTTTACATATACAGACACAGTATTTTACACTGTACTGTGTTGGTGTTGACAGTGATCAGCTGGATATATTTGAGTACCAGCTATTTATATTTGAGCATCACTTGCATGTGTTTGAAGACTGTGTTCTAGTGGTAATAAAGTAGAGTTCAGTAAGCTTTTCATTCCTGTAGTAAGTTTTCTAACTACAAAAATCATTACAGCAGAGAGCACTCCATTGTTGGTAATAGTAACTTTGTCTTGTGCACATGTGGAGTTCATCTAATAGAAAAGAAAGTTACATGAGTAGAACCAGAGAAGGAGGAAAGTAGGCAGATATGAGCATGTAAAAGAGCATTATGATGGAATATATGGCCAAAATACTTGGCGTTAGAGGTAGAGAAGAAGCAGGAATATGTCTTAGTTAACTGCATACAGGCTTCTCATTTTGTGACATACATGGGCAGAATGACTGTTGTTCCTATTTACCTTTTTTTCCCCCAGAGTAAATGCACTAGTTTGTGTTTTCTGTTCTTATTTTAGACTCAGGTTGGGGAGTTCCTGGGAGACAATGATAAATTTAACAAAGAAGTCATGTATGCATATGTAGACCAACACGACTTTTCAGGAAAAGATTTTGTTTCAGCTCTGCGCATGTTTCTAGAGGGATTTCGTCTTCCAGGAGAGGCTCAAAAAATTGATCGCCTCATGGAGAAATTTGCTGCTAGATATTTAGAATGTAACCAAGGGTAAGCTATACTTTATCTTCAGAACCTTGGAAAGCTGAATAATAAGTCAAAAATCCTAGTATATTACATTTACTGTTCTTTTTCTCCTTTCCCAATTCAGGCAAACTCTTTTTGCTAGTGCAGACACAGCGTATGTCTTAGCTTACTCAATTATCATGTTGACAACAGATCTTCACAGTCCACAGGTATGTTGCTAGAAAAACATTTGTGCAATCCATAGATATCTTAGTTTCAGGCTTTGTGACAACGTGCGTAAGAAATACGGTGGATTAAGTTTGTGTATCTTTTAAGAAGCAGTATTGTGTTTCATGGGTGGTGAGATTTTTTAAGCTGCTTTCACTAGACCTTTCTGTAGGGTATCGTTTCCCTGCTCTGTGTTGAACAGGAGTTGTGTGGATTTGCTTTTGTATTATGGCACCCACACTAGTGATCTAACCTACAGTCAGAGCCAGAACTTGTGCAATTACTTACCCATTAATTTTATCATGACTTTGCTCTTGATTTCAGTCTGTATGAAAAATAATGCAGCTTTATTTTGATAAATACAGCTTACTTCTGCAGTGCATAATATTCAAAGTTGCCATAATTAGTCGTCATCATTTATTTAAACAGAATCTGGAAAGAGTATTGAACTCTTTTCTTTTTTTGTAATATATGTCTAATTGATCTATGAATCCTACTTGAACGTTTGTGAGTGTTGTAATGTTCATATGGCCTTGTGTTATTTTGTGGATTTGATAGCAGAGTCTTGCGTATGTTGGATACTTTAAAATGTCTTCTGAATCAGCAGGTTTGTCCTTGGTGGTAACTTTTCCTCTGTTCGGCTGCTTCATAGGCAGCATTGTAACTGGTATGAATTTGCCTCATTTGTTGGTGTTAATATCTTCTTTCTGGGTTTCAGGTTAAGAATAAAATGACGAAAGAACAGTATATTAAGATGAATAGAGGTATCAATGACAGTAAAGATCTCCCTGAAGAGTATTTGTCTGCTATCTATAATGAAATAGCTGGAAAGAAGATTTCAATGAAAGAAACAAAAGAATTAACAATACCCACAAAATCCAGTAAACAAAGTAAGTAGTTGCAGTGTTAGCTTTCTTCAGTGTTGGCTCTTCAGTTCCAGAAGCTACCTCCTTTTTAAAATGAGAGATGAATGAAGCAAGCACCACTTACTTAACTCAAAACTTAACTTCTTATCCTTTTCCTTTTAACATGAATACATGATGCTACCTTCAAATCTGTATTAAATGCAACTGCTTTTTTTCACTTCTCTTGACATCTGAATTCCTAATATTCAGTGTATTGACCAGGGAGAGAAGACAGGTTTTGCTATTGAACAGCAACACAGGGAAATGCACTCGAGAGCTTTCTGAAGTAACGGTGTTGCTGATAAGGCATAGTGCAGAACAAACACAGTTGTTGTGCCCTCTGTTTCTAAGGTAGCAGTTGTGTTTTCCTGCAATAAACAGTCTTTCATCTTAAAAATTTTTGCATTATTTGATTTGTAGGGCCGTAATCTGTGTGCTTCTAAAATGATCTTTTGCTCTCTCAAATACCAGAAAAACTTTGTTTTGCCCAACGTGAAGATTCAGATGGTATTCATTCCAGCTTTTCTACAGAAAACACTGAGAGACTTTATTTATTCCCAGCATAGTCAAATGTGTATACTTTTAAGTCCTAGGCTAGAGTTATGAAGAGATTGTTTACAGGAAATTTGCACCTGGAAAAAAGAATTCCTCTTCTTTTCAAGATTTTTTCAATTAACATAATGTTTTTATGGTAATTTTAAGGAAGCTGATCATTTCGTTATACTTGGGTTTCACTTTATTGATGAAATGGAGGTTCCATTACTGAAATGAAAAGGTGATTAACGTAGTGCTCCCTCAGTAAAAGGATGTCTACTTACTTGTAGTATTGTTTTTGGTGCTGATGGATTGCTATGAAACATACGGTCACTCTGAATTTAGCTTAGTGGATGTGATGTTTATGCTGTCAGTTGGGGTGATAGTGAAGAGATGTTTGTTGTGCAAATCTTAAAATTCTGTAAACGTTTTAAATTGGGTTACATTTCATGCATAAGTTTGCCTGGAATTAAATTTGCCTATACTGCAAAAGAAGTATCTTGCTGGTGTGGTAATTTCAGAAAGTAAAGATAATACCAAAATTGCATTGGAGTATGGCACTTCATGAAAAAAATGAAATTACTGTTTTCATGAAAACACTGCTGCTAAAGATGCACAAATGAGAGCAAAAAAATGTGTTTACAGGTGTTGCTAGTGAAAAGCAGAGAAGACTCCTGTATAATCTGGAAATGGAACAAATGGCTAAAACAGCTAAAGCTCTCATGGAGGCAGTGAGCCATGTTCAGGCACCTTTTACCAGTGCGACACACCTGGAGCATGTGAGACCCATGTTTAAGGTGAGATACATGTTTAGGTATTTACCTAGAATATCACATAATTTCTTAATTCAAAATACTGTCAGGATTTGTTGAAGATACTGAATATTTGTCTGCTGTGTTTTGATCAATTTGTAATTCATTTAACTTGCTACAGGAAAGAAGCGATTTTGAGCCTTCTGCTACAGTTTCATTTACAGTGGGATTTAAGGAGTTTCTATGCTGATAGAAGCATTATCTTGGTATAATGGGGGAGTTATGAGGAGTATGTTGAGGGGACAAAAGCATAAAGAGAAGTTAAAAACTTGAAATGATAAGATTTTTATTTCAGGTATAGAGCTGTAGTCAAAGCAACGGATTTATAAAAGTAAGAGATTACTAATCCCAGTTCAATTTTGAATCTCTACTACTGTTTCCAAGGGAGAATACCTCATTGCATTATGGGGGAGCAGTTATCAGAACAAACTTACATCTGATGTTGTCTGTTGCAAATTAGTATTTTAGAAAGGCTAGAACTGTTGTCTGGTTTGGGGGGAGGTATCTGGACTTGTGTTTAAGCAGTTATTCTGAACACCTGTCTTCACTATTGTGTGGGTACACAGCTTTCTGAATCCCAAATGCTTTTCCCATACCAGTGATTCAGATTCATAGATCTAGAGTGTGTTCAATGGTGTATTATGCCTCAGCATGCTATTGGATATGGCCTTTGATCTAGCTAACTCATTATGGTTAACTGCCACTGAAATAAATGGTTATGCCCTTACCATGCACTTTCATTTGCTGCCCTTTTGCAAGTAGTGGTCCCCATATGACCTCTTCCTGAACTGTTCCGAGGAGGTAAAGTCTCAGGCTGCCAATACAATAAAAAATGGTTTATTGTGAGACAAATAAATGGTTCCCTGGCGTGATGTGCCATGAGGTCAGGTTGAGCTCCAGGCCCAGGGTCAAGAATCGTAGAATTGCTTAGATTGAAAAAGACCATTGAGTCCAACTGTTAACCTAACACTACCAAGTCCACCACTAAACCATGTCCCTAAGCGCCACATCTACCCATCTTTTAAATACCTCCAGGGATGGTGACTCCACCACTTCCCTGGGCAGCCAGTTCCAGTGCTTGATAACCCTTCTGGGGAAGAATTTTTTCCTTATGTCCAATCTAAACTTTCCGTGGTGCAACTGGAGGCAATTTCATCTCATCCTATCACTTGTTACTTTGGAGAAGAGACCAGCACCCACCTCGCTACACCCTCCTTTCAAGTAGTTGTGGGGAGCAATAACGTTTCCCCTGAGCCTCCTTTTCTCCAGGCTCCCTCAGCTGCTCCTCATAGTTCTTGTGCTCCGGACCTCTCACCAGCTTCATTGCCCTTCTCAGGACATGCTCCACGCTGCCTTAATGTCTTTCTTGTAGTGAGGGGCCCAAAACTGAACACAGTGTTTGAGATGCAGCCTCACCAGTGCCGAGTACAGAGGCAAAATCACTTCCCTACTTCTGCTGGCCACACTATTTCTGATTTAGGCCGGGATGCTGTTGGCCTTCTTGACCACCTGGGCACACTGAGGATCTGGCTGTTAGGTTGCTGTCCATGAGGCAAACTTAAAAGTTCTTTATTGCCATATTGATAAAAGCAGGATAGTACTCTGTGTGTACAGAGTGACTCTAAATGAAGCCCTTGTTAAGGTCTGCTTTTCAGGGTGTCAGCAGGGGCGTGCTGTACATATTTTCTCTGTCAGCTTCTTTAAGGCTGAAATGAAATAACTTGCATGCAGGCATCTGTAAAATTCATAGACTGTTTTTCCTTAAGAGGACAGCCCCATTACTCTTATCATATTCCTAGCCTTTAGTATCTGAGAAGTACACTTGCTAAAATCTATTTTCAGAGGAGCAACATAGGAAGCATCAGGCTAAATTAACACCCTAAGCGTTTTTTGTGAATGTGCTAAGAATTAGAAGTCTTCTTACTTGAGGATGTTCATAAACTAATTAAAGTACAGAGGACAGTGTAATGTTTGGAACAGAGAGCTGTCCTCTCAAAAAATTGAGAACTGTGGAAGTAACTTAGTTAACTTCACATTTGTTTATTTAGACTTAATTGTTATTTCAGTGGTATCTCTTTCATCCATTGATGCCAGCATAAAATTTATCATTATAACTGTATTTACAGATAGATATGCTAAATGATTAAAATGGAATAAAAATTCACTTTATGCACCCACCTAACCAGCCCCAAATTGATTATTTTAGAGGCTTAATTTTAACATTTAATTACATAACAGTCTATTATAAGTAACAGTGTAAAACTAGTTATAAACCACAGAATAGCATACTATACAGATTTCTGGATAGTTTTTTAATAAAGTATTTCAGTTTTGCATTTTTTAAGATTAGTTTTTGTTTTAATAGGGATGAAAAATTAGGAAAGGGGAGGCAGAAAGAAACATACACTTCTGGAACATGGAATCATACAATGGTTTGGGTTGGAAGGGTCCTTTAAAGGTCATGCAATAGGGAATTCAGTCCTGGATCTAGAAATTCATCTGATGCCTTTCATACTGTCCCAGAGTTATGGTTTGGTCTGTGCAAGCATTAATTGCTTTTCTGAAGTGGTGCTTTTGGAGTTGCTGGCTTAAATGAAGCCAGAGCTCTGAGATGCACCATTTTATTATGAAATTGAGCGTGAAATCTGTTGCTTCTTGCTGTGCCCATTAACTCTGTATTTAATCTGGAGTGTCTTCCAGTAAAATTATTTCTAAAATGGCTCTGGGTACCCTGGGGTTTCCTCTCCATAACCACGTGCAGTTACAGCAGGATCCTCTGCATCTTCTGCTTGGCTTTTTTGCCTGTGGGTGAGGGAGCCTTGACCACAAGGACAGGACCATATGGACTCTCCTGCAACAACTTTTAGTTGAGTGTATTCCACTCTCAGTCCCTCCTAAGGCAAGAGGCATGGGAAACATCAACAGTGGCTTAGGTACAAAAAGATGGAGGGCCAAGGGCAACAAAATTAAGAAGAGAGAGATAAAGGAAAGAGTCGTGTCCTGTGTCTTACTGTTGTTGTCTTACCATAATTTTGGTGAAATTTATTAAGTTTGCTGCCCTGTTTTACCCTACCTTTTTTTTTTTAATCCCGCCTTCTGGTGTTATCAGGACAAACTTGTTTTATTTAAGTATAGGCTTTTTGTCATAAAGGAATCTGTTACACCCTGTATTGGTTCTCACAGCAACTGTTGAGTCTGTCTTTATTTCTCACTGTGCAAAGGTAAAGGTTATCCCAAGAATACCAAAACTCCAGTAGACATCTAACTGCTGTGGCTTTGGGGTTTGTTTTTGTCGCCACTATCCGAACATGGCTCTGTGTGTTGGTTGCTGAGGGAAAGTGTTTCTGAGGGGTGCATGAATCTGCATTACTTCTATGTGTCATGTCTGTTCTATTCCATTTCCTTTTTTTGGTAAAAGGCAATTTCAAGGTTAATGATGTGAGTTAAGGATGGAATTGACACTTCAGTAAGATACTGAAACTAAAATATTCCCTTCAAGTACCAGGAGTTGCTAATGTAAGTTTTATTTTGCATACGTTCCAGTTGGCGTGGACACCTTTTCTGGCTGCATTCAGTGTGGGTCTGCAGGACTGTGACGACACAGAAGTTGCCTCTCTCTGTTTGGAGGGCATACGATGTGCCATCAGGATTGCTTGCATTTTCAACATTCAGGTAAAAAAATTAAGATTGAGACAGTACTTGGGTTTATTTATCCGCAAAATGTCAGTGAGGCTCTAAGAGCCCTTGTTGCTGAAGCTGTGCACTGCAGTACCTAGAGGCTGCCTGTTTCTGCAATTACTACTTCATCTGATGTTTGGAAGCATTTTAAATGAAGTCACCTTTATTTTCCCTGGTGTTTTGTGGTAAGTGCTGCCATGCCTATGTCCCGATTTTTTTGTTTCTCCACAAGTTGACTACTTTTATGGCGAAGTACTTTCTTTCTAGCTTTGTTAAAAAGCCATTTAGCTTTGTTGTGATATTTCATAAAATTAGTCTTTCTGGCCTGTTCTATCAGTAGAATAGTGTCTCTGTGAACTGTGTTTGAAATATTGTTCTCAACTTCAGAGAGATTATACTCATCTGAGACTTCTGTAACCGGATACCATTTTAACAGTTGTGGCACTGGAAATGTCATTCCTGATGTAATGCAGGAATGTATCTTGCATTAAGCACAGTGCCAAGAATTCCAGACTCTCTGGCTTCAGAGAGTAATTCTGATTAAATTTGGGCGCCTTTTTCCCCCTCCATTTTAAAATCATCAGTAGTCAGTGTACTATTACGTTATTGTAGGGCATTAGTTAATAAATGGAGTACTGGTCTGCCGTAAGTCCATTGCAGATGTAGCAGAAGAGAGTGGCAAGCAAAATTCATATGTTTGACATTTCATTATTTGATGTGTACATGGAAAACATTAAAAAACCCCAAAACCCAGCCACCTTGTAGGACTAACTTTAAGCAATAACTGTTGAACTATGATATCACAGTGAATGCTTTGCTTCCCTTTCCCCGTGTATTTAGCAAAATAGATAACTTCTTATCACTAATGTGGAAAGACACGTTGGGACCCCAATACAACTGCTTAAAAAAGCCTGTTTGATATCATGCAAGGTTTCCTTCATCTGCCTTTCCACTTCATTCCTCCCTTGCTGAACTGAACAGACTTAAAAATTTGATTAACAAAGCTTTCCCTGGAGCCTGCAGCTGTTCAATGAAATTCACAGTCCTGGTATTTTTGTTTCTAAGCTGCAGAAGTGGAACTGGTACAAACAGCAGTTTCAGCAGCTGCAGAGGTAGCTCCCCGTCCTGCAGGGGTCTGCCTTGGGTGGAGAGGTGAGGGCAAGGACACATTTGGTCTAAGATCCCTATGCTCCAAGAATGTACCAGAGTCGGTTGTACCCTTCCATTGCCTTGGGACAAACTCGATTGAACTGGAGACGTTTCAGAAACAACGCTTCTCATTTGCTGAAATTTAAAATGTTTATTTTTGTATTTTCAGTGTAAGGTGATGTTCCTTTGTCATTTCCTATGGAAATTCTGCTTTGTTGGTGTCGTTAAAAACAGTTCTGGTTTGTTGATGGTTTCAGTTCGGTACCGGATGATTCTGTTGTGCGAGGTCCTGATTAGGTGGCAGTGTGGTCTGGCTGCAGACGCCAGATAGCTCTGCTGGTGTAAAGGAGACTGGCAAATCTGTACTTGAGCTGACTTAGGGATCTTTCTGCTGGAAGCAGGTTTTCCCCTTTGGGCTTAACTGGTGTTGACAGCTTTTCTGTTTCATTGAATAAGCATACAGAAGTTATGATTGATGTCTAAGAAGAATTAACATTAGCTTACATACCTTGAGAGATAATGGAGGGAGCTGGAGGCTTTTAATTTTATGAAAATGCCCAAAGTACACAATATAGTTGAAGCTGTGCATGTTCACCTCTAAAACCTCAATTAAAGATTCTGCTTTTAATTATTTATGCTTTTAATCTTAGACTGTCATACAGTCTGTCTTTTGTCTTTAAGCATCTAGGATAACATACACATCAAAAGGATGCACTTAATTTGGTGATATCATCTGGTTTTACTTTCTGGTTATGGACACATTGTTTAGTTGTTTTTTCTTACTTCGATGGCTTAGAAAAAGGAGCAGGGGGGAATATCTGTATTCAGAGAGGGAAGATAGAACTGAAAACATTTTCCTTTTACAGAAGACAGTTTGTAGATTCTAAAGCTTTTTTTGCTTAGTAATTTTTCCATGAAACTTTCATTTTTTCTGTGCTGACATGTTATTTGCTGTGCTTGTGCCAGCATACCTTGTAGTAGTAGTTGAGTTTGAATGCAGCAGCTGTGCTACGTGGCTCTGTGAGAATCCCTCCCCTCTATCATTGCCCACTGTCGTGACATTCATGTTTTCTCTATGAAACAGACATTCTTCTTGGGATTTTTTTGTTTCTATTGGGTTTTGTTATGTGCTCAATGATTTTTTTTTTTATTTTAAAATAGTCTTAAACATCCAAACAGTTACATATATTTCATAGTTGTCATTTGTTTCACTGATGTACAACCATTTCACTTTATGGCCTACATAAAAGAGTAAAATGCACTTGTGAGCACAACTGTAATCCCCTTCTAACCACTGTAATCGGTTCATATTAGACCTGAGGAGTTTCCTTTGGTGTTTATAGATAGCCTGTACATCAAAATCGGGCACCTACATGTGGAACATTCATTTTTGTTAGATTGATTTCATCTGCTCAGATTACAAGGCGCTTGCTGTTTACCCAGCCGTGGCAGTCTCGCCTCACAAGCTTCTGAGGCGCTCCAAACAGCACTGATTAAATCCAATACATTTTGAGCAGTTTTGTGGAATTGGTGAAATATGCCTATTAGATATATTCTTCAGACTCTGTTGCCAAAAAAAATCCTGCAGCCTGAGAGAGTCTGCTAAGGCAGCATTTTCAATGTAGGTCCAGGTATAGTACAAGAATATTAAAACATTAACTAAGAAGCCATATTTCTTCTGAAACGGCATCCTGTGTCCCAAAAAAAGCCCTCCAAAAAGACCAAACCCAGAAACCTAACAACAACCTATGTGTTCAGACATTACACTTTATGTTGCTGAATAGAGGGAGCCTGGTTTTATCCCACAGCTTACTACAGAAGAACGTGAGGTATTTTCACTGTGTAGAAAGCTTTGTAAATTCAGTTCTGGCACCAGAAAGGTAAACGACGTAGTTGCTGAAATCACACAGTTTGTACTATAGCAACAGGAAACTGAGAAAATACTTAACAATTTTTTTTTCCTCCCATTTGTAGCTTGAAAGAGATGCCTATGTCCAAGCGTTAGCAAGATTTACCTTACTTACAGTGAGTTCTGGTATTACTGAAATGAAGCAGAAGAATATTGACACAATTAAAACTCTCATCACGGTGGCTCATACAGATGGAAACTATTTAGGAAATTCCTGGCATGAGGTAAAAAGCGTCATTTGGACTTAAGCTGTAAGAAGGCACGTGCGCTGAATTTGAACACAGCAGTGTACTTGTTTGTCCTTAAATACAGTGGGTTTTAGATAGTGCCATGTATATACTTTTGTGCATACATTACGTAGGATTGCACGTTATGCAGCCAATTACAGTAGCAAAACATGTCCTAGTGACAAGTAAAATTGAGAGACTAATCCAATAGTATTTAAATTAATACTAATTTTAGACAGAACAGAAATACTTGCCTGACCTTGAGTGTTTCAGTTTTTTTTCTTCTAAAGAGTTGCCTAAGTATTCTTGTTCATGTATTTATTTATTTATTTATTTATTTATTTATTTATTACTATTTAAAACTGCTTTTTGTTGATAACTTCTTTATTCTCTGAAATAGATTCTGAAATGTATCAGTCAGCTTGAACTGGCACAGTTAATAGGAACTGGAGTAAAACCTCGCTACATCTCAGGGACAGTGCGTGGCAGGGAAGGTTCTTTTACTGGAACAAAAGATCAAGCACCTGATGAATTTGTGGGGCTGGGACTGGGTAAGTAATGCAGATATGAAATATTTCATTTATCTGGCCTTGTTCAGACCGATATTAAAGTTTGTCCTTTGTTTTCATTATTGTTGACTCTGAGAAGACCACGAAGTAGTCCTTGTAAAACTGTCTTAGGCTTCCAATAGACCTGGTCCTGTTTCTGGAATATTTGTTTCACTCTCTTAAGTATTCTTGCTAGGATGGGAGAGTGTCATAAAATGATAGGTTATTCATTTCTATTAAAATATAGCTGACCAAGTAAGAATGCATTACTGATGGTACAACCAGATTTAATAATATTACAGCATTAGTGCATCAAGTATTTTACCAAACAGGCAAGCGAGTGAGGGTCGGTTAAGCATCCTGTTACAAACCTTCGTGAGGAATGTGCTGTGTTCAAGTGGGGGATTACTTTAGCCTAAATTCTGAAATTCTGTTTCCTCCCCTTTTGGTTACTTTGGTAGTGAGTGCATGCCGTTGTTAGGTTGACCTGAGAGGCAAAATTTACTGCATAATAAGATGCTGTTTCCTATCTTTAAGTTATCTTTAAAAGGTTAATTTAAAAAATATATTATTTTTAATTTTTTTTTCGTAGAAACATAGTTAAAGACACAGATATGTAGGGTATTGGGAAACTCTGGAACCATCAAGGAAGTATATTTAACTCCATTTGACTGTTGGAAAGTTTCAGTTTTAGTATGATGCACAGTATCTCCTGCCTTTTGAACAACTTCATCCACATCAATTTGTCATGGGTTTTTGTTTGATTGTTTGTTCGTTTTGTGCTTTTTTTCCCCCCTCTCCTTAGGAATAGCGATTATTTTACGAGTTTCCATGATGTTAGCCATCAACTAATCCTAATTGTCTGGCTTCTACACTCAGTGCTTTTCTTTCCATTGTGCTCCCCTTTGGCCTGCCTCTGTGTACGCCCCTCACCTCGCCAAGAGTTGCCAAAGGGAAACCTTGTGCCTGGAAACTATTGTATTTGCTGGGATCTCATATACTGAGCTTCTTCCTGCCCTTCTAATATGCACCCTCCAGTTGAGCGCTCTCCAATGACTTACCCAGCTTTGCTATTTCCAAATGCTGGCAGTTTTTCTATACTAAAGTGATTGGCCTTCAAAAATCTAAATTCCTAATAGCTTAAAAATGTAAATTCTAGTAATGTGTTTTTAAATTATACTCGCTAGTAATTGATGTAGATCAAGCTCATAAAGACTTTTTTCCCCCTCTCAGCCACATTTCTAAGGAGAATAGTTTATGTCAAAATGCATAAAATGTTTCTCTCTGAATTGAATTTCTGGAATGCTTCTTACAGTGCACATACGGAAACGTAACAATTTTCCTTCTTTCCTTTTTTTTAATAACATCACTTTAATCTTATAGGAAAATGCCTCACTCAAAGAAATGGTTTTCATGCACTTAGGGGCTGTTAGAACATAGTCATTTAATCAGCTGTTTTAGTTTTTTTACTCTCTTCCACAAATCCTGTGTTGCAGATACTTTGGTTTTCTTTCAGTGATCACTTTGAAGTGTCCTTTGGCACTGTGGCTTTTCCAATAAACCTAAATTCTTGTGAAGAACCCATAGTGCATATGTCCATATATACAGACATATTTTACAGCTTCATCTTTCAAACCTGCTTGCAAAATCAGACATGCATAAGCAGCAACATTCATTCTTCTTGCTAAGTCTTGGTCAAACCCATCAGTGTAACAAGTTGCTGAAATACTAGAGTAAGGTTACGTATGTATGCATGTATCTACAGAAAGGTTACTCCATAAATGCCCTAGAAGAATACTTCAGATGGGTCAGTTTGTCTGGATTTGGCAGCCAGTCATCTCCAGCCACCTCCAAGTGTGGAGCAGAGCAAGACTTGGATGCAGTCTGAAGCGTGACAACTTTCCGTCTTGCAAAGCTCTTTCAGTCTCCTGTTCTCCCCTTTCTGATAGGCTGCCTAAGAAAAAAAGCTTAATAAATTAAAAAAAACCCACCCCCCCCCCCCCCCCCCCCCCCCCAAAAAAACCACCAATACAGGGTAGGTGAAATTATGCAGCATGGTTGCAAAACTCCTGCCCTTTTTTCAGATAGGGAGTGAAGGGGGCTTAGAGATTGCCAGGGCCACTGCAAGATGCAGAGAACATGGTTCTTGTGCTGTTGAATTTTTTCCACTTATATCTGATCATAAACTGTTGCAAATGTGAAGTGTTTTCTGGGACTAATAGAGTTTATACATGGATAGAGAATGTAGAGAATTAGGGGTTAGACCAACATGCAACTGTTCACTGAGATGTGCAGCTCATACAAGGGTAATT